TCCAAGCCACCGTTGTCGATGTCTCACGATGGTGACACCAATTGCATTATCGTCTCTGTGTCCGAACACACGATGCCGAACCTCTACATTACTAACATGGTGTTGCCACTGGATGTCAGCAATCCTTCGGAGACAACGATGATCGAACACAGAAAGTCGTCTAACGTCCTCAACTCGGAGAGGCCAGGTTTCACAAGCATAGAGAAAAACTGCTCTCACCAACGCGTTGTAAATCCGACCTTTTACAGCCAGACTAACATCACGAAGGCGCCAAAGATGGTCCAGATTGGCATAAGCCGCTCTGGCTTTCACTATACGTGCATTGATCTCGTCACTCACACCCCCACCAGCACTTATGCAGCTACCCAGATACACGAACTTCTCGACTACGTTTATCTGCTCACCATCATCATCAGCTCACCATTCGAACGCCGGTCAAATAGATAACAGACATCCATGTTAAGATAAGACGGCCAACCCCTATCTGTTATCCGACCTAGATTACTGAGCGAACGGTCAAGAAGGCCAGTTCGTGTGGCGCACGTGGTCGCGGAAAGTCTGATACAGAACTTGTAATTGGTGGTAGTATTTAACTTTGAACCCGTCAGTTACTTCAGGTCGATTAGTCTGGATAGGTTTTCCGCCATCGGTGAGCTGCTCTATGAGTTGAAAAATAAAAACTACAAAAAGTGGGAATAGAAGTGAACAGACACAAACTCAGGTAAGAATGAGTGTTACAAACTAATTGTGAATATAATTTAGGAGGGTAATTTTCCCGGTCGTAGTGATCATTTGATTGTTATGTGAGCTAGCATACTGCCTGTTGCCCCAAACCAAAGCAGGACGTTAACATTAGTTACTTTGGTTGTTATTCACATATATACAGATTACTTGGTCATTTCGGATGCCACACCACCAAGATTGAATCTACTTAGTCCATATGTCATCAACCAGTGTGGTTTCTCTGAAACAAATCGTCATATTATTATTGTTGTTTACATTATGTTGTCGAAGAGAGATTCAATCAATCATAACATGGAACCTGTCACAAATATGGATTGTCCAAATTTGCCATACCATAGGAGCACAAAGGAATGGAATTGACAAGATAAACGACAAAAGAAATTGATATATAATAGTCGCAATAATAACGAGGAAGACTGAACACTGGGAACTTTGTGCTAGGAGACAGAATGAGCTGAATTTATAGAGAAATACTGGAACTCAAGATCCATCTGTACCATTGTGACCGACTGAACCATGTCACTCGGAGTCCTTAACGACTGATAGGTGGGTTGTAGATCAACGTTAATTTCGTAAAATATTATCTAACCCAGCTGGTGGTTTTGAACAATTGAGAGAGGTGGTTGTATTTCATTCTGCCTAAGGTTCTCTTTCTAACAGGGCTTTCGAGATATCCGATCGCTTCAAGGAAACCGTTTTTCCCTAAGTCTTGTTCACCATATCGAAGGCATATCTACTATCAAGAAAGAAAAAGGTGGTTGGCTTGCAATACATGACGAGTTCCAAGAAATTATCGATACATATATCAGTTAATCATACGGAATGTAAAGTATAATATTTGTATTTGTCGAGTATATTTAAAGGAAAGTAGTAAGGCGAAGAGTAGAGTGGATACAATAATGATGAATAGCAGTGAAAAGTTAAACATTATAAATGTAGCTCAAAAACAATAGAAACCACAAGGTAAAACTATGTTGCAAATAAAGGACAGATAGTATAAGTAACTAACTGATCTTGAGCCTACCTAAGGTTTGCCAGTCGGTTATCGGCCTGACACCAATAAGGTACGGGCTTCGCAATACGACACAGACTGAAAGTAAATTACATTTTGTTTTGATGTGGCTACTCCTATCCAACTTCCAACTTAACTACTAGTAGAGAGTATCGAGAGCACAAAAGCTAAAATAAACTAGTTAGTATAATGAAAGACTATTTCGGCACCTGTAAATTTATACTGATAGCTATCACGTGTATTACGCAAATTCTTTTAGAAAACGGACACAACAATCACTTTGTTCTGAAATGCTGAGGAAACTTAAATTTGCTTTTTCACATAATCCAAACAAACACCTGACCAGGATTTTGTTTACACCTCTGGGAAAGGTCGAGTGGCTCTCATGTAACTGAAGTTCGCCCAGAAGTCCCCCATATAAAGTAGGTTCGCACTTAACGACGGAGTTTGGAAGTTTGATGAAAATTACTAATAATTGTCTTTTGAATTCACCCACTCCATCTAGGGAAGTAGTTTTTGGAAAATTGTTAGTTGGGGTCGCAGCCAACTCAGATTGATTGACGGATAATAAGTTTTTCTTGCCATTGATTGAAATGGTCTTGAACAACTGCTACTTCCAACTCGGGTACTAGGTTTAAAAGTCCTTGAGTAGCTGCACTTAAACTTCACACAGTACCGTGTTTAGAACAGAGAATTATTGGACAACTGAAACGCGAGTTCGGTACGTGAACTAGAGAATGTACAATAAATAATTAGATGCTCCAAAGGTAGCCACAAAAGACAGCGACAATATTGTGAAGAAACATGGAGAAAGTTACCAGTAGCGCACATGACATTTGTGATGCTGAGGGGGGTAGGAAGGGGCACGAACTTAATTTGTACACAGACTATCACGGGGATGTACTCTGCTGTTTCAGTATTTTGTGTGTTAAATATTTAAGTTGTATGTTCAGGGGAGTGGTATTTCCCCAAGAAAAGTATATATTTCAGTTTGAGTGTATGGATAGTAGAAAGTCAGTTACTAGTCAAAAAGTAACTGCCATTTGAGAAAATTGTAAAGACGGTTTTTGCTATCCGATATGCGCATTTAGGTGCTCAGTATTTATCAGAACTCAAACTTGATTGCTTCTGTACCTTAAAAGGCTACCAGAACACAAGTGGGAACATGATCACTTAGTTTTGCTTCATACTCGGTGTTTTGTACAGCAACATCAATGAGAATGGATATCGGTACCATAGTTTCTGAATGGATACACATGAAAAGTGGTCGAGCCGACAAAACAAATTTCCACTGCTTCATTGGAATTATAATTTGCAAACATCCGTATAGTGGTACAAAGTTATATTTCCCATTTACGATTGTCACAGTTGTTGCTCAGACAACGACCCTACTGTTTGAACTGAAAAAATAGTTTTCCTCGAGGAACGCTGGTAGACTTTTTAATCCACAGGTCTGATCCAGGATCCAGTGAATCAGCGTTCAAAAATATTCTTATGGTAGCCAGTGGCAACAATAAGATTATATGCCAACAAACTTGATGGTCAGTCAGTCAGTCAGTCAGCTACAACGTAGGACCAGGCACATATGTGCATCGGTCCAGGTTGCCATACCTCATTAGCACAACAAGATGAACACCGGATTCATAGGAGTGGTTAGGTCAAAGGTTGCAATAAGGATATAGTATAGGAGGGAAGAATTAGTTCGTAGAAAGAAAGATATGAAGTGATTTAATCTCTTAGTTTAAGGGAAGACAGGGAGTGTATGCACCGACGCCATTGTGATCGATTCTGAGCCATGTCACCAAGAGTCTCCAACCATTGGTTACGATAGTCACGCGGACCCCAACCAAGTAGTCAGCATCTACCAACATGGCTCAGACTAGAAGTTAGTGACTTCAAGCACTGATGCCACGTTTTGGTTTGGCCGCCCCTAACTTTCTTCCAACCATTTCCAATACCGGATAGCATTGCACGTCGTGGTAATCGGTGTTCAGGCATACGTAATACGTGGCCCAACCATCTCAGTCGATGAAGATTCATAACCTCATCAACTGATTTACCATCATTACCTAATACCCTGCGTCTAACCTCACTATTACTTACCCGGTGATCCCAGCAGATGCCAGCAATATTTCTAAGGCATCTGTGGTCAAATACTTGTAGCTTACGGGTGTCTTCTACTCTTAAGGGCCATGTTTCGCTGCCGTAAAGTAAAACAGAACGGACTGCCGCGCAGTATACTCGTCCTTTTATTGATAGACGGATATATCGCCTCCGCCAAAGGTGACGTAAGTTGGCAAAAGCCAAACGAGCTTTTCGAATCCGTGCTGAGATTTCGTCAGACACCAACCCATTAGGGCTGATCAGACTTCCAAGATAAGTGAAGTTGTCAACGCGTTCGACTACTTCACTCCCTATCCTTAGTTCAGGTGTTGACGCACACCAGTCCTGAAGCAACAACTTGCATTTAGAGGGAGAGAAGCGCATCCCAAACATTCTGGCATTGTTGCTTAGTGCTACCAGAAGACTCAGCATTTTGTCAGCGTCTTCACCAAACAGGACTATATCATCTGCGTATTCTAAGTCGATAAGTGGACCTCCTGGATGGAGATCAATACCCGAGAATTCAGTCGACGAGAGTGTTATTTCCATCAATAGGTCTATGATGAAGTTAAACAAAAATGGAGAAAGTGGACAGCCTTGACGGACACCACTTGAAGTTGCAAAAGTAGATGACAGTTCGCCATAAGCTCTGACTCGACTAGTAGTGTTCGAGTAAAGAGCCTTTATAAGGTTTATGTACTTCTGAGGTACGCCTTTCAATGACAGACACTGCCACAGAGTCTCGCGGTCTACAGAGTCAAACGCTGCTTTTAAGTCAAGAAAGACCACCATCGTCGGACGCCGATAGGTATGCCTGTGTTCTAGAACCTGACGAATGGTGAATATGTGGTCGATGCAGCCACGACCAGGTCTAAAGCCAGCTTGGTTCTCTCGAGTTTGTAGTTCACGAGTCTTAGTTAGGCGTCTGATAATTATCGAGGCCAGTATTTTAGATACTTGATGGTGGTACCGTGTGATTAACTTAAATAAATTTAGTACGGTAGTACGAACTATGCAGCTGGATATATGACGACCTTAACAGATAATCTTTAAGTGAAATAAATATTCCTTTGTCAATACCGAACACGGTACAGAAATAATATCAACATAGAAAATTAATAGATATTTTAAAATGTTTTATTTATTTAAGATGTTCGGGAAAAGTTAAACAATATCTCACACGTTCTTTAGCAAGGGAAACATCTATTTCATCTTGCATTAATGGTAAAAACGTTGGAGTACCGTGTTCAAGAAAAACATCTGACGGAATTTTTTCCAAGTGTTCTAACTGTTTCCTGACATACTTAATCAATATCTCGATTTCTTGAAAGGTAGTTGTTGGACAACAGAACCATATATTACTCCACAACGCACTAGCTAAATGTGAGTCTAAGCAGGATAGTAAAGCTTCATCATATCCGACCATATTGCCAAAGTATTGCCCACGAAAGACTTTAATCTGCTTATGGCTTTTCGTTAAGATTTTGAATGCACGCACTCTGCGTTTCATATCTTCCCAAAGAGCCTAAGAAAAACTAGTTAAAGGTAATACTGATAATACTCTATCCATCCATTTTTTTATGAGATACCCTTCTTGTCCTTCTTGGCGTAGACGCACGTAGCACATCCATATGTGTAGTGTGGTTAATGAGAACCACGTTTGAAACGTGTCTGGGAGTTTAAGATGTTGCACAAAATCCTCAAATACGGGGTATTCTGCACAGATTATGAATAAGTTTTCACCAGAAATACGAAGGGTTATGTTTGAATATCGTAGTTTATCAGTTAATCCAAGGAAATATTTTGTCTTTGTCAGTGCTGTTGATTGAATAAAATTTGGCTTATGTGGATGTGAAAAACGAGCAGACACATGGTTAACGTTCCTCCATAGATTAAAAATCCTCAGCCTTTGCAAATTCATATTTAAAATAACAGGAGAAAAGTTACGCGTTTACTTTTGTCCTTTGTATTAGACAACTTTCAGTTCTAAAAGGTTGGCGAAAACCAACTTAGTTAACTGATATGGTAATGAATTTAGGGCATTAATGGGACTATACCACAACCAAAATCTGAGTGGTGAAACGGAGTCAGACAAAGTTGTTTTATAATGGCCTTTCCAGATTTTACTGCTAAAACAGGAAAAAATTGGGCTCAATATTTAAAAATAAAACTTTAAGCACAATAACCCAATGTATTTTGACCAGTGAACAAAATTAAAAATAATATAAATTCTAAGATCAGAACTTAAAACGTAAGTGATTGGAAATCAAGACTACACTAGTTATACGAAAAATTCATTTTGCGAACTACTTCCAATTAAATTTAAATTCTCAGATGTCGTAAAATCTAAGTAGATGTGTTGCACAGACAGTAAGAAGCTTTTTGGACTTAATTAGATTTGTCGCTACTTGAAACGACAATTCTCAGGTGACGATTAGTGCAATGATATCAGAGTTATGAACAGTGATAACGATTAGTTGGCCGGGTCTCTTAATATTTACGGTTATTGAAATTATAGTTATAAAAATAGAAAAGATTAGGGGACGGGCGCACCTTAAAGATGGGTTGGAGAGGAATAATCAGTAAGCAGTCATCACTATAGTGCCTGGAAAAAAGTGCGTTGGTGCAAACAGCCATACCACATTAACACGAAGAGATAGAAATCAAAGGAGATCGCGAAGATATAAGTGGACGAACATAAGGAATATAGAACGCAAATATTGAATGGAAACTTAAGTATAGAGAAAGAATCGAAGGCTAGACCGCGGGAAAAATAGAGTGGAAGGTGCCTACCACACTGTGAAGAATTCGGAGCAGTCACACAAACACTTTAGCGACAGATCGCTGTTATCGCGCAAATCCCAACCTAGTGGTTAGTGTCTACAGGCAGTGAAAACGTAGAAAATGGTAGATAAATTCAACTTGTTATACCCTATTAAACAGAGATAAAGTCAGGCCAAATCCTAGAATATTAGTAGTAACAGTATCAGTGGTAATAGGAAAAATTAGGCATCGAAGATTTGATTCGAAAAAATATAAAATAGTGAAATAAAAAAATTATGAGAAATTCATAATCTCACAATTTTGAGGACAAAGAATGGATGCACCTATGCCATTCCAAACGAATTTGATCCATGTTATTCAGCCTCTAACCACCGGTTACAATAGTTGCGCAGACTCCAACCAGGTATTATATATCTATTAACGTGGCTCAGTCCTAGTGTCAATGATTTCATGTACTGATGCCATGTCTTGGTTTGGCCACTCCTAGCATCCTTCTAACTTACTCCACCAGAAAATGTCATCTACAAAGTAGGCGGTGGTTGGGCGTACGTAACACATGAACCGACAACCTCAGTCGATAAAGACTTACTAATTCATTAATCGACCTGTCATCTTTACCTAGTACTCTAAATTGTGCATTGCTTACTTAGTGTTCCTAAAATATACGAGCAACGCTACGTAGACACCTATGATTGATTACTAACACTACTACGAGTATCCCCCACTCTTAATAGCCATATTTCACATCTATAAAATAGAACGGAGAGAACTGCTGCGCAGTAACCCCCCCCCTTTGGTTGAAAGACGGATATCTTGCCTGCGCCACAAGTTGCCAAAAATCAATTGACACTTCTAAACCCGTGACGAGATTTCGTCAGACACCAGACAATTAGGAATGATCAAACTCCCAAGATAAGTGAAGTTGTCAATGCAATCAACAACTTCACTCCTTATCACTAATTCAAGAGCCAACGCAAGCCAATCCTGAAGTGACATTTTACGCTTGGAAGGAGAGAACCACGTCCCAAACATACTTTCATTGTTTTTTCAAAGTGATCATGAGACTGCATTTGTTCAGATCCTTCAACAAATAGAACTATACCACCTGCGTATTCAAGTCAACAAGTGGATATCCTAGTGGAAGATGAACCCTTCAAATTCGGATGAAAGTGTCATCTCCATGACATAGTCAACTAAAAATGGGAAAAGCGGACAGTCTTGACCAACACCACTTGAAGTAACCAATTTAACCCAAATCATTTCACTGATAATAGATCGGTTGAGGTCTATATCCAGCTTTCTTAATAGCTTTGTGCTACTCACTGATCTCACGGAAATGTTTCCGTGAGGTTCAAAACAAGCAAGCAAGTAAGGAAAATTGTCACCGCTCATCAATTTTGCATAACAGTCACTCAGCTTGTTTGCCATCTTCATATAACCTCTGTTTCAGGTCGCTTCACAAAATGTATTAGTCTGCTTAGCATCTCAGGTCGATTCTACATCACCATTATTCTCTCGCAAACTTTTGCGTCGTCATAAATTAATCGGGGCAAATTAACGCAATGGATGACCAACCTGATATTTTACAAAAGAGAGTAGCGCGCAGTGCGGTTCCCGCGGAAAATGTTACCACAAAATGAGCACTGGACAAACAGCAACTGCTTATTAAAAGAGCAGAGAAACACAGTCATGGTGTCTACGTAAAATATGTTGTTACAAAAAACTTTTGCAAACAGAACAAACGAAAAGTTGGGGACTTTGGAAGACACGAGTCAGTCAGATACAGAGGATGCTGTTAGTGTAATCCGCATCCTACACTAGAGGCCTGACAACATACTAGTTTCAAACGCGTTGCCATATATTGAGAAACCTACTGATGCAAATGTTTTCACAAACAGGCCAGAACACGCTGGTCTAAATCTTTCTGACTGTAGTAAAAGACGGTTAGCAGAAGTAGAAATCAACAAACCTCGATGAAATGGAGAAATCAACCCTGATTCTTAAAAATTGCCCCATCGTCAGAGTTCCGAGTTAAGCGATTCATAAATTATTGTGGGTGGCATGGGAATTTGTTAAGCGCAAATGATTATTTCTCATACGAATACTCGTTGCCTACTGAATAAAATGTTATAGCTTAGAGATGTAGTTCATATGAAAAACTTTAATGTCATCACAGCTTCTAAAACACGGGTGATATATGATGCAAGCGATGGGTGTCTCGCTCTCCAGAACTGTAATATCAAACTGGAGCGGTTGGGGGCGTAATCCTTTTCCTGTGGAACATGTATCGTGATAGTGACACACGATGTGAAGACATGTGAATTGGTGCTAGACCGACTAGAATTCAAGGCTTAAGACAGGAGTTATGATCTCAGTTATTTCGACCTAGCTACTATTACTGTTAAGTAATTTTTGATACTAATTCACTCTATAAGCCTCCAAATCAGAACATGGTTGAACAGAGAAGTGATCATGTTCCAAATAAACTAGGTTAAATGAAGGTAGGGGTCACAATAAGAAAAACATTGGTATATGTTTTAAATTTTAGTACAATAAGATTTTCCAAGTATCCTCTAGTGCTGGTTGGCTAGGCAATAGCCAATCAGCACCCTCAACACAATCCTGTCTAGAACGTGATGTAATGCAATCCATATCCTGCTAACAACTGAGGACTTGTTGTAGTGCACTATAGCCCTGACTGTAAAGTGGATGATTTCCTCTCAATGAAATTATGACTAAGCAAGTAAAGAAACCCCTTAACAGGTTATCTATGTACCGGCTACAAATATGGGTGACCTGGAGACTAAGTCATCAAGAAGATCACTCGATTATTAAATATTAGAAACCACAACCTAACCATATGCGGTCCAGGACATTGTAGATTTCACCATATATGACGTTCAATACTCTTCTTCCTTGGACTCACTTTTCACTGACCGTGAAGTTCGCCTGTAGGGAGCACCGTTCATATGATCATATTTAAGTTTATTATTGCTGTGGTCTACTAACCAAACGCTCAGGCTTTTTCGAACATATGGAAGTCAGATATATAAGCGATCAGTTGACTAAGGAACATCAGTAGAACAAGCATAGTATCGCTTTCGGCAGTTATACAACCGGTCAAAAGCCATTTATACACTAAGTTGCACCAAAAAGAAAGAAATGCCACATTACCTGGATGAACTGTGAGACTAGACGTTTGCTCGGAAAGAAGAAAAGACAGAGATATTGATGTTAATTTTGGCACAGCAAAAGAGAAGGGACTTGGCAATTCCATGCGGAATAAGTGTCCTGAAACAATTCATGTCGCTCAGAGGAAATGTAGAAGACAATCGGAAAAAACATTAACCAAACAGCCGAAACACTACTCTTATTTATTGATTGCAGAACCAGAACATACTTAATTATTTCCAGTTGTAATTACGGAAGGGTATGTGTCCCAAATGATAGAGGAATACCAGAACAAAACAGAAGCCATGGTTGACCACTTCGAAGTAGTTTACCTATGAGTCTCCTGTCAACTGAAGACTAGCCCTAGAAGCGATGTCACTAAATCTTCTGCTTCCTGTGAATTTCAACCACAATGGGGTACTCAATGCATCAAGTGATTGTGATACAAAAAATCAATGAAACAGATGCATACTTTCCTGACTTTTGGATCAGCCCCCAATGCAAATGGCTGCTCAGCATAAAACAACACTCAAGATTCCACTAGGACAGCGGCTGGAAAGATGCCACTTTCTCCAGTTCATAAGACAAGATCGAGATAACTCTCTTCAAACCACAGATACGTTAGCCTCCGGCTAGAATACTGAAGAGAATTATCGGACAGGTTATTGTGACTTTCGTGAAGACCAATGGCTTGTTAAACAGCGAACACGCTATAGAAACGCAGTGAACACGTATGTATAAGTCACTACAACCTTCCGTCAGGGAACGCCATAGCTCTTAAACTTGTCTCACGATATTCTAAGAGCAATAATGAGCCACAACCTTTGAACAACGAATAACTACGATGACCACGCTGCTTACAGGTTGAGAACCATGTAGGCGTTAAGATTAGCACTTACCAAGCTAGATACACGTATGGCCACTACGGTACATACAAAATTATGCAGAGTCAAACCTAACGAGTTCATCCAAGCTGCAAGGTCCTGTTTAAAATATGACCTAGATAACTTGGAAAAAACACAGAGGAAAGTTACCGTACCAGTGTTGGAATAACTAGGATAGCCATAAAAAGGTGGCTTGGAGAGTTAGTTTATTTAAATTACTAATGTTTAGAATATTAAAAATGAATTTAGGACTGGTATCTAAAGATTTCGATGAAAATTCATATACGTTTAGAAAAATATCCATGAAGTTCCAACAGAAACTTTTGAGAAAGTGTATTGACCTTATTTAATAAAAACCTCAAAATATTCCCCAAAGTTTTGGGGATGTCATGTTGAATTCATCGATAAATACCTGGATTTTAAGCTCTATATAAACGTCTTTCTTAGTAACTTTTGTTTTATTTCGCAGACATAAAGCGATTCAAAATCCATTACACCACTGTTCTTCATATTAATATATTCGTCGCCAGTGTCTATACATAGGCTCTGGAAATATAGTCTCAAGCTATATGCAAGTTTTGTACTAAAGGTGATGTAGAAATGTTTGCCCGGTTACAAACGTACAGTTAGATTGGTAAATACCTGTTAATTCAGCTAATTATACAATAAATAATAATTTCAACGTAAGCCGCTCGGAAAGGAATAAAGGTATACATTGATATTCAGGAATAGACGTAAAAATTATAAAGCTCACCTAAGAAACATCCCATTTATTTGTCCTGTCATTCAAACAAACAAATACATTATAAACTTCACTTGTTTTATCTTAATACATTGGTAGATCCATATGTATGTATGGGATCACGGACTGATAGCGTCTGTAAAGGACCAAGTAAGCTAAGAAGCGCAAATTCTGAATACTGAGCAGTCCAAATCTTCGTCAGTAAATCAACACAGAAAAGCGTAATAGAAAATAATATTTTAGGCTTCCTAGCATATCAGAACACAAACGGTACTGATATTCCGCAGGATTTATCTTCATTATAGCTTTTAAGATGTCAGTCTGAGTGTCATTATACCAGTAGTGCTGTTTAGATACAACCATCTTGTGAATATGGCAAAAGAGCATTTTCTCAAGCGCATCCCAGCTGTCTTTATCGAACTGGTTAGGATAGTGGTCGAAAGCAATCATCTTAAGCATACCTATGGTTTACTTGGTCAAATAGGCCGAATGATTGCAAGAAAACATTTGTCGCAGAATTAATAACCTAGGCAAACATGTATTTAGAAGGCTTTAATTTTTGTCTCGCTATGTATCAATTTGATCTTGCCTGTAAACTGGCATGCCTCATGTAACAAACTGTTATTTGAGAATAAATTATTATTATTATTATTATATAAATGGCGGTAGTTAGGACGTCGTATCACAACCAGTTGCAGTACTATAGTATTCTAATTGTCGTATGAGTTAGGAATTCAGGATTAACGCAATTGAATTAAGAAGACACAGGCACAAACGAATGTATTGTATTTAGAATTCGAAATCAAACATTCAACCAGTACAAAAGAATCATTAGTTAATTCAAACACCACATCCGCCACAGCTTAAATAGAAGTATAAGTGTTTGTAATCGGTTGTACGTATTCTTGTTAACTTCATCCTGAGTCTGTCCGACATTGTATAAGATAAAAACTTTGTAGTATCTAGAAAGTGCTCATTAGTATTGGAATTAACAAACGAAATCAGAACAGACTCACCTGGAATTGTATACAATCAGCATGTCGGTTTTGTAATGAAATCATTAATATCTATAATTCGAACCACAGATTTTTCAACACTATCCCCCCCACGAAATAATGTTGGATCTTTATATCCCCAAGTTATGAATAATGTGGCTTCATTTAAAACATATTTCTCACATTGTTTAGGGTAAACAATAGAACTGTTTTTGTGATAAGAGTAAACAGCAGTTGATATGAAATCATCCGAAATGTAATAAAACTCGAGGTCACTTAGTACTCGTGCTTCGCATTGGGCAGGTTTTTCACAAAGATCAAATACATTATGAGGATAGGTAATATATGATATGACATCAGGATTTGATTCTTCTGAAATATTCTCATGAAATTCATCAGGACTGTCATTGCAGAGCGTAGGATCGTTAGAAAAATCAGCATCTATCCAAACCACATCAGGTTTTCGATCATGATTAGGTTCATTTAACATATTTTCCTCAGAATTGCAAGTAATTTCATTAGAAATATGTGAATCATTAGGAAAAGTCATACTTGGTACAATAGCATGAGAATTCTGATAAATCGGTTGGTTAGGAACTGTTGTTTCACAAGAATTCTGGATTTCATCTAACTCTGAACTGTCATATGACTCTGCACTGTCTTTTGAAATCGTTGATAAAGAAAATGATCATTAGAAACATCCGAATTATTTAAATTTAAATCACAAGATTTAGTACAGCTTGAAGCAAAACGGACAGTAGCTTTGCATACTGACTGAATGTGTCCTACCTTACCACATTTAAAACATTCAGCATTACGAAATACACATGGATTGCGAGCATGAAACTTTCCACATGATAAACATTTACCAAACTTCATCTCACCTTTGTGATTTGCTTTGTAATTCGTCGTTGAAACACCTTTCATATTTACACGAAAATAGGAATCACTGTTAAATGAACGCAACTTTGATTGACCCTGAGATTGTAGTTCATCATGACGACTAAGCAAAGTATCAGAAATCTTCATCGACTGGATATCAAGTTCATTCACTGCTTCGTAGTTAATACACGCAGTCCTAGCATCTTGAAAGGAACAGTTTGGCATTTTTAACAGCTCTCTTTCCAAACTCGGTATGTTAATTCCTGAAATTAATCGATCTCTCAGTTGCACATGAAGTTGATCACCGAAATCACACTTGGCAGCTTGTTTCTGTAATTCAAGGATGAATTCCCGAGCCTTTTGGTCATTTTGACGAATCATCTTATGAAACTTCGCCCTTTCACGGCATTCAAAACTGGTGCATTTTACATGACTTAATAATAGCTCTTTAAGAGTTGCATAAGGGAGTGAAATAGGTTTTTCTGGATATGCTAAAGTTTTTAATAAGCTGTACGCTTCTCTCCCAATGAATGTGAGGAAGTGTGCCACAATATTAGCATCCTCATCATCTTCTTTGGTCATGCTCCAAATTTCGAACCTTTCCAAATAATCCTCAAAAGCTTCAGGAGTTGAATGAATATCCAACTTTTCCATCGCAGGTTCCATCACGACGCCAATATAGTATTCTAATTGTCGTATGAGTTAGGAATTCAGGATTAACGCAATTGAATTAAGAAGACACAGGCACAAACGAATGTATTGTATTTAGAATTCGAAATCAAACATTCAACCAGTACAAAAGAATCATTAGTTAATTCAAACACCACAAGTACCTAAAGGTATTTAAAATCCTTTTACCAAAATACAAATAGCTTGTTCGCCGTGTTGCTACAGTTATAAACAGGTTGAAAACAATACTTGATACAAAGGTGTTTTAATCATACATGCTGATTGCTAGGTGAGAGGTAAAATCATCACTGACTGGAATACTATAAAACACAAAGTCATAATGAACGGCCATGTTGAAAATGGAAGCAACCATAATCAACGGTACTTCATAAATGTTAATGACGTATGCGGTTAGATGCAGGAAGTTTTACATCAACCAGATGGGGGTGATGACATTACAGGACAGAATAGGAGGTTGAGAAAAAGGAGTGTGCAATGCATAAACAGCAATATCACAGACATCATATGCACAAAAGAACTTTACATTGTTTGATTGGACAACTAATCACATTAAAGAATGGAAGTAAGACAGTAATAGAAATTTTAGAATTCATGGTTTAGAATGCAAATAATCGGCTTATTAACGTTTTCCATCGTATAGTTTTAGCGACTGCCTTGTATTTGAAATCATGTCCTAGCAAGCGTCAACGAAAAGTGCTGAGTTTACCTACTCTGGTGGATAATTCAGTCATTGACTAAGCGGTGTGAGAAACGGAAACTCATGTGCAAACGAATCGACCTCAGTTTTAAACCTTCAAAAATGTTCCCTCAGATGATTAGTCCTAGATGGAAGAGAAGTATAAAATCTTCATCTCAACATCGTCGTTCAGTATACGGAAAGTCATTAGATCAACCCTTCAAGCATGAAAGTTTTTTCTTAAATCCATGTTGATTCATCGCTAAAAGATCATTTCCCTCCACACAGTTCGAAATAGCCGAGAGAACAATCTTCTCCATTAATTTGACGACCACATATGTTAGACTGACCAGTCAGTAGTTACCAAGCCTCTACTCCACTCTTTGTGCACTGGACTGTTAATTGATTCTTTCTAGTTTTTTGACGGCTTCGACTGCCTCAAAGACATCAAAGAGCTCTGCGAAAGGTTCACTTCACATAACCTTAAGACGAATATAGTACGGAACACTGGACTTATCTGGTTTGAGATGTTGCAGTAGTTGTAATACAGCTGCTATCTGAGCGACCACAAGGTCTATCCACAAACTGATATTGTCATGATTAATTTTTGGCCCTTTCACCAACCTCGGTATAAAACATTGCTTATTCCCAACATCAATGAAGTTTGTCGTACCAAAAGTGATGAGATCCCATCCCACTTCTTTGAGTTTGCCTCGTAAACCAGAACAAGCTTATCGGGATATTTTCACAGTTCCTAAATAAGCGTTCTTCATATGAAAGTCTAGCCCTGCCAATGCTTTGCAAGATTTCCTAGTCCTACGGTAGAAGGATACGTACCATTAGGAGCCTTTACAAATAAAGATAATCCAGTACTTTTTAATCATCCTTGGCTGATCCTTACTTGATTTACGCGGTACTAAGCATGGTATAAATGGGGACGTAAGCAAACTAAGCGCATATTTAAAAGTGAACCATGCTTCTTCAATCTATGAGGCAGTGTTTACTGATCTTTCGTGCCTTAAGGTAACACTCGTGCTATTGATAGAAGAAACCAGAGAAGTAGTGAATAGGTCTTTATTTCGATCTTTGCGCAGTCGCAGTGGAGCGTGGGATTATCTGTTCAGACAAACAAAGGCTCTCAACATTCAAGATAATAGGGAATATAACGCTTATGAAAAATAAGGAAGTGAATGAATACTTGAACAATACTGTTTTGGCATAAGCTTGGTTGTTTGGGGTCAACTCTTAACCAACCAACCTGAGCTGTTACATTAGCTTCCCCCTAGAATCGACTTCCGTAGGAACGCCGGTTCGATTAACCTATCTATCGAAAACACCTTAGTTCTATTTCTCATCCCAAGGGAAAATTATCAACTCGCTCACTATTTGACTTACAATCAGTGACGACTAACGCTGTCAACGATAGTCCATGGATGTCTCCTCATTTACTAGCTTGTCATCTTATTTTGTAGCATGTGATCTATTCTACAACTATCGCTGACGGTTTACTGCGTGCTTTCAAGAGAAAGAGTGTGAGAATGTGGAATAAGAATATCTGAGGAAGTGCCGCGAGCGGGCTACCCAACACCATGTTGGTGAGGTACGATTTTTCCATGCTCAGACCGGCTATCAGGTGTTTACTCACCTGCCTCTTTAGTCGCCCTCAAGTAAAAAGTAAAGAAGAATCTACTTCAAAGGTAATGGTGAAAACCAATCACACCTGAAGAACTGCTCCACTGCCTGCATAAAAATAATAAGATACAAAATGGAAATACAAAAATATAATTTATAATTGTTCGGTTCCACGTAAGTGATTGGCCTCCAGAAAGGATTGGTATTCTGGGTTGCTTTTTGAATTCGTTGTATTTGCCAGTGTTAGTTGTATGAGTTTGATTAAAATCCGCAGCCATCGTTTCGGAATACCTAGCTTATGTGTCCAGTATTTAAAAAAAATTAACATAACACTTATATATCAAAGGCAAAAGGTCTGGGGAGTTGTAGGTGAGGCGGAATGAGGAGAAAAGTTATTTTTAAGTAGATGAAGGGTCTGATTAGCTACGTGGTTAGATTTTATCCTGCAGCTGAAACTGTCAACATCCTTGATTGGCTAATCGGATGTGCCCAGCGAACCGTTTTAGTCATTTGTAAAGATTTATCGTTTTTGCATTTCGATTCCGTAATGGATTTGTCAGTTAAACGATCTAACAACACGTATGGTGGTTCATGATCTAGATAAGCCGGCTTTAGCCTATCAATACTTACTGTGTCGATGTTTCCATGTTTTTCTATCACGAAATATTTAGATTTTCTTGAGACGACTTTGAAAGGACCTTCAAATGGAGGGCTAAGTGGTGCTTTTATTTTGTCACATCTTATCCAGACGTGCGTGCAATTGCTTAGGTCTTTAGGTACATATACGGCACGCGATTGTTCGCGAGTATTAATTGGCTTAAGTTTGGACATATGGTCCCGTAGTTGATCTACGTAGTTTCCTAAATTAAGTTTTTGACTGTTAGTATTGGGGTTAATAAATTCACCTGGTAGTCTCAGAGTTGTTCCGAAAACCAGTTCCGCAGCTGAACACTGTGCGTCAGTTTTGACAGATGTTCGTATTCCCAACATAACTAATGGTAGGAATTCTGTCCACTGATTGGGGTTTGAGTGAGATATAAGGGCGGTTTTTAGCTGACGGTGAAAACGTTCTACCATCCCATTAGCCTGAGGATGATATGCAGTGCAGCGTATCCTATTGGAGCCTAGAAGTTTAGCCAAGTTATTAAATAGTTCGGATTCGAATTGCGCTCCTCTATCCGTCGTTATTGTTATGGGTGTACCAAAAATGGTTACCCAGTTCTGCATGAAAACTTTGGCTACTGTTTCCGCTGTGATGTCCGCTATCGGGATGGCTATAGGGAATCTGGTAAATCGATCTATGCATGTAAAAAGATAATTAAAACCGTTTGAACGAGGTAAAGGACCTACCAAGTCGATATGCACATGGGCAAAACGTGCATCTGGTTGCGAGAAAACACCTATGGGTGAATTTGTGTGACGATTAATCTTTGATTGTTGACATGCTGAACACTCTCTAACCCATTTGTGTACATCCTTCTGTAAATTCGGCCATATATATCTGGCATTGATTAGTTTTGTTGAAGCTTTCGCGCCAGGATGAGACAAAGAATGAAAGTTATTATATATCAACTTTCGCATATTTTTTGGAACGAAAGGTCGCGGCATTGCCTTGGTCGTGTCACAATAAATTAGAATACCATCGATAGGTGATGGGAATTGTTTTAAATTAAGACTTGAATTGTTTGTTTTAAGTAGGTTTTGCAATTCTAGGTCCTGCTCTTGTTCGTGTCTTAACGTCTCGAAGTTTACTGTAGACTGCTGTAGCACGTTCATTTCTAGTCTGGATAAAGCATCTGCCGCCTGATTGTCCTGACCTTTGACATGTCGGATATCGCTTGTGAACTGTGATATATAGTCAAGGTGTCGGACTTCTCGAGGTGAGTATTTATCGGCTCTCGCTTTTAATGCATTCGTCAGTGGTTTATGATCCGTAAAGACTATAAATTCCCTACCTTCTAACATGTGTCGGAAGTGTTTAATGGTCAGGTAGATTGCAAGAAGTTCTCGCCCGAAGGTAGAATACCTTGTTTCGGCTGGAGCGAGTCTTTTCGAGAAAAAAGCAATTGGTTTCCAGGCGTTTTTAACCAGTTGGTTAAGGGTACCGCCTACTGCTTTATCTGAAGCATCCACCATCAAAGCAAGTGGGGAAAGAGAATTCGGATATATCAACGTAGTTGCTTCAGCCAGTTTATCTTTAAGCTGTTTAATAGCTTCGATGGCGTCAGAAGACAGTTTGAATTCTTTTGGTTTTCCTTTAAGTGAATCTGTCAAAGGTTGCATTAATTGTGCACAACCTGGTATGAATCTGCGATAGAAGCTAATTAGGCCTAGAAAACTTCTCAGTTGTGTTAGAGAACTAGGTACGGGGTATTGTTTGATAGTATCCACTTCTTTTTTTATAGGTTTAATCCCTTCTGGGTTTATTGTGTGACCGAGAAATTCTAAAGTTTGAACACCGAAAACACACTTACTTTGATGTATGTTTATTCCATGTTCATCCAGTCTTTTCAACACTGCTTGTACATGCTGTTCGTGTGATTGCAAATCGGGGCTGGCAATTAACAAGTCGTCTATATACCCCTGCGCAAATGGCATATCTCGAAGTAGGTTATCTATGAATCTTTGAAATGTCTGTGCCGCATTTCTCAGGCCGAATGGCATGCGTACAAACTCGAATAAGCCAAAGGGTGTAGTAATAGCTATCTTGGGAATATCTTCATCAGCCACCGGGATATTGTGATATGCCCTGAC